CCCACACCAAAACCAGCATCTTCCAAGCAATGCTGTAGCTAAATGTCAGTATTTGAGGAAGTTGTCTTTTGTCCTCCTGCCACCGCAACTTTTTTGTTATTGCAACTATTTAACATTCACAACACATCCAAGCATCTTAAATTAATGCTCGCTTTTCAGATACCAAGACATGCTGTGTCTTGGAAATAATGCTCTGGTAGACGAGCTTATCCATAGCACGCGTTATCGGTCTATACAATCACATCTCTGTTTTTGCCGGTTATGAAAGCTGCTTGAAGTAAGCATGCCATCACTCATTATACTTCCTCTCTGTTTCTAGGAGGCTTTATTTCATCAGAGTTACTGTAAATGAATCACTAAAACTTTTTTTTTTTTTTTTAATGTAAGCACTGCAGCATCCTGAAAAACACACACCAGAATGGGCTCAAATACATTGTGCTGTAGGGAAGTCTACTCCAGTTGCTCAGTTCACCAGTAGATATCCTAAATAATGGTCTAATTCAAAAAATGCAAACCAGATCAAGGGCAGGAGGTGTTCCTGCTTTTCTTCCTGATCTCTTCTTCTTCCTTTGCACTGGCACAAACAGTATAATCTGAGCCTCATATACATCCAACTTGCTGCTATGCCCCTGAGAGGGAGAAGACCACCTGCAGAGAGTTTAGCAGGGCCAAACTTGCACTGTAATACGTCTTATTAAGTACTAAACAGACAAAAATGTTTCCTACTTTTGCCTGATAGTGAATGTTAATTAAAACCAACACTTCTGTGTGCTATAAAAATCAAAACACAAAGTATGACAGAGTCAACTTTCCAATGAAAACTCAAGAACTGGCTAAAATACAACCGAGGAACTCAAGAACTAGCTTTCCTGGTGTGATATGTCTGCCTTCAATCCATTTTTCATTTTAAATTATCTCAGAAGAGCTTAGAGAAGTGTACTGAACACGCTAAGGATCTTTAATGATCTTTAAGCCTCGTTTCCCATGGGTCAGGCATTTCTGACTGTGTGCTGCTGTGGGAATTCCCTCCAGTCAGAGGCAGAGCCTTTCTCAATGGCGGTATTGAGCTCAGGAATTCCCGACTAGCATGTAACTACCTTACTGACAGAACGGCTGATCTCTGAGAGATGGTGAAGAATATCAAGCTCAGAAAAGAGTTGGTGGGAACTCAGGCTACTTAAGTTGCTGGCTTTGGAAAGCTGTGCTCGTGTGCGTACCTCATCATGGTCCTTATCTCGACCCTACTTACGAGGGGTCAAGGCTTAGGCGGCTGCATCAAGGGACGAGAGAGAGAGAGAGAGAGAGAGAGAGAGAGAGAGAGAGAGTGAGAGAGAATAAATAGATGCTTATCAGCTCCACAGCACCACCCCAAATCACCTCTTTCCATGCATTTGTGAATAGATACGATGCTCATTTGCTCTCTCAGACAACCAAAGACAGAATGGGATGTCTGAATATCCCATCACACCCAACAAAAACGCAATATGATCGTTACCCCCAATATCAAGATATTAAGATAATTTTTAAAATTTATGATTTGTTTTTAAGTTTTGAAGTTGGCCATATTAGATGGCAACACCTGTGCCTCTGCAGGTTGGGAATAAGAGCATGAGGTGCTAGAGCCGGATGCCTTATCTGTTTGTTGTGCAGTGATGCTTCCCGTCACCAAACCCTTGTGAACAGAAGGGAGCTGCAGAAGGCTGAGTCTGTCAGATGCTGGGGACCACAATATTTCTGTTACTCCCACTGGGAGCTGAACTTCTAAAAGAACTTTTTTTTTTCCCCGAACTGCAAATGTACATTTAAATGCTTAAATACCCTTAGGACCCAGATGGCAGATGAGAGGCCAGATCACTCCAGCTTTCTCCCACAAGTAAGTAGATTTTGCAGGCTGAGACTCTGAGGCTTTGCATCCAAACTGACCACCATCCAGCACGGTTTTCCTACAAGATTTATATATACATTTACATCAGGACAAAGTCAAACAGCTTAATTACATTTCCCTTCCAGGAAGGGATTTAAAAAAATGTCTTTTTCTGCCTGGTTTCCTGACTGAGTCAGCCCAGGTTGTTTGCATTATGTGCTTAGAAGAGGGTGAATGGAGGGATACAGAGAAGGTGGCTGATTTTCCTCTTATATTTCTGTGGTCTCAAAACTGTCCACCTACTACTACTCATTATCTGATGCATGAGGTGTCCCTGGATCTTAGAATCACTGCATTTCCTCTCTGTATTTCAAATGTAAAGGTGAAACGTGTTACTTTTTGAGAAATTTCTTACCATTTGTGGATTCAATTTTTTTCAAGATTCTGTGTTGGTAATTTAGCTGCAGGAAAGTAATTGCCTTGATATTGCTTAGCTATCTTCATTGGTGCATTGGTTTCAGCTTCACAAGGGTGGACCCAAACATCCATGCATAATAACCAGCAAGACTGAGATTTTAAGGTAGAAAATTGTTTGCATTGGTGAAATATACCCCAAAGTACTTATAAGTAATTATTATGTCAATTTATTGCCATTATGTGCCATAATTAATGTGTTGGGTTTTTTTCTACATATAAGACTTCTCAGTGATATTTTTCTTTTAAGAGCTTGTAACTGGCAGGCATATTTCGGAGCTATTTCTCTGCTGGAGTGTACTTCCTTCTACTGTCGCTTTCTTGTGTTGATACCTTTGTTGAGGAAAGGAAGCGAGCAAGAAAAATGAATTTATACCTTGCTTTCTGATATGGTACTAACTTTGCTTTTTGCTCTCTAAACTCAAAGAAAAGAAAACAACATACATAATTATCTCTGAACTCTTGTAAGTTCTACAGATTTCTTGGGTTTATTCTCTCTCTCTCTCTTTTTTTTTTTTTTTTTTTTTTTGTCTCTTTCTTCTGGAGCTCATTGAAAAAATCAGACATTGCATTGATTCAAATTCTCTCTTTCCTCCATCTTCATTAAATCAATGTTTCTTCTCAATTCGCTCCTCTCTCTGTTCAGCTCTACTTAAGCTACCACTGATGGTGAAAACCACATGTTTTATTAACCTTTCTTCCATGAAGCATGACCAGTCATCTTGATGCCCCTCCTAACAGCCATTTAGACTGTAAGAGAGTAATTTCCTTGGGCTATGACTTAAAAGGAAGTTCAAGGTAGCAGAGAGATCAGCTGGAACAAAGTCCAAAGCTTGTAAAGTTGCCTGTCTGGTTTGGCAAAGGGAAAACACACGCTTGGTTATGGGATTCCTCCAACAGTTACAGTAAATACAGGTCTTCCAGTGCAAGGGTGGAGGGAAACCCCACTTTACAATTCACATTTTGAAGTGCTTTTCAGTATATGCGACCTTCCTCTCTGAATCAAAATTTCTTTAATGCATGACCTAGAGATGCCACCAAAATTACCATGCCTTCTGGACATGCTCTGCCCAGCCACTTTGCCCTTTAGGTTTCAGAGCCACAAGCGGCCAATTACCCACTTGCCTCCACATGCCCAGAAGCACACTGTGAGTCACACTAATGCTGTGTGACCAAAATTCCTTCACTGGCTTCAGACATTATTAATAAAGGATCTGCTTCTTTGCACGGGCTGCTCACTGGGGAAATCCCAAAAGCGAAGCTTGTGGAGCGGAGGGTTTCAGTAGAACAGCAGCGCTCAACTGAGAGGTGAGTCACTCTTCCCAGAAGGGTTCAAAAGCAGGTCAGGCATGTTCAGAAAAGTGCTTTTGGCTTTTTATTTTTTTTATTTTTTTTTCCCCATCTTCTCCTCCTCCTCTGTTTATACTTGTGTCTAGCCATTAGCATTCCTGTCGGTGTTAAAAGCCTTCAGCTGAGATTCCGGCCCCTTTTACAACTGTACCATGAAACAGCAGGACCTCTGCCCCAAAAACTTGCACTGTGAGCAGGCCATGCATGAGAAAGGGAAAGGCAGGAATCTTTTTCGATTGAGGAAGAACTGACATGCGAAGAACGAAGTGATTCATCCAAGCTTACTTGGAAACCAAAGCCGCTCAGCCTTATCTACTGCCTTGCTGCTCTCGCCCGTTTACCTTTTGCTGGAAATAGGATGCCTGTGGTGTCAACCTTGCTGCCTTTAGGCAGCCAAACGCCACTTTTATCAATACCTTCTGAGAACGAAGGAAGTTGCAAGCGTCCTAACTCTGTGTGGTTTCCTCTGTTGGCAAACTGCTGGTCACAGTTCTCAATCTGGCACTAACAAGACATTTTTTCCTCTTTGAAACATATAAAAGAGAGGGTATGGGCTTTGTTCAGGGGATGCAAGGAGTGCTCCGCCACTTTCTTGTGCTTTTAAGCTGAAGTGCAGTGCTGAGGGTCTTGAAGACACTGGATCCCTACCTACCTGGTGAATGGTTTACAAATAATAATGGTTCTGGTAGCACAGCAGCCGTCTGGGGGGACCGCTGCCTCCTGGTTTTTGAGTCGCGACACCGTAATCAATAACATCGGCTAAAGGCCTGCGGTTAGACTTAACCACGCGTCAGTGTTTATGCCAGAAAGAGACGGAGAAAGCCGAGGAACTTTAACCGCTTCGTGCGAGATTTTCTCACGTCGACCGCACGCCGTAGGCAGGCACGCGGGGCTCTGAGGGCGCCCGTACCGCATGTGGTCAGGGCTGCGAGCCGCCGCGGCGGGCATGAGGGCGCTGGGTGAAGGAGAGAAGGAGGGAGAGAAGAGAGGGAGGAAGGAGGGAAGGAAGGAAGGAAAGAAGGGATGAAGGGAGGGAGAAAGGAGAGAGGGGAGGGAGGGAGGGAAGAAGGAAGGAAGGAGGAAAGAAGGAAGGGAAGGAAGGAAGGGAGGGAGGATGGAAAGAAGGAAGGGAGGGAAGATAAAAGGAAGGGAGGGAAGATGGGAGAGAGGGAGGGAGGACAGAAGGGAGGGAGGATGTAAGGAAGGCAGGGAGGAAGCAGGGAGGCCATCAGGGAGCCCAGCCTGCAGGCACCCAGTCCGGGGCCGCCCCAGGCGTGGCCGCGGCCGGGACCCGCCTCGCTGGAGGCGGAGGAGGAGGAGGAGGAGGAGGAGGAGGAGGAGCGGGGCCGGGGCGGTGGCTGCGGCCCGGCTCAGCCCCGGTTCCCCCCCGGTTCTCCGCGCCCGGCCCCGCTCCTCCGGGGCCGCGCTGCCGCCGAGGGGCGAGCGGGGCCGGCGCGACGCCATGCCGTGGCGGGCGCTGCTCCTCTCCTTCCTCCTCCTTCTCCTCATTCTCCTCCTCCTCGGCCCGGCCCGGGCTTCGGGTGAAGGTGCGTGGGGCAGAGCGCCGGGGCGGGCCGGGTGGGGGCTCCGGGGGGAGCCACCGTGCCGCGGGGTGGGCTCGGGGGGAGGGTTGGTGCAAGCGCTGCGGCGTTTGGTGGGGCTCGGGGGGAGGGTTGGTGCAAGCGCTGCGGCGTTTGGTGCGCTGTGCTGGCTGCCACGGGACCCCGAGAGCCCCATCTGGGACCCCGAGAGCCCCATCTGGGACCCCGAGAGCCCCATCTGGGACCCCGAGAGCCCCATCTGGGACCCTAAGTCTCAGGGGTGCTGTTGGGCTCAGCCAACGTGGGAGGCTTCCCCTGTCCAAGCAGAGCCTGAGCTATACAGCTGAGGAGCCAGCACGCTTCTGCCTTTGGGACGGATCCCCACAAGCAGGCAGGAGCGGCTGTGTCAGCCCTGGCCGAGCTGTGTGTGTGTGCGGGGTCATTGCTCCGCTACCCTGCAACCTCCGTGCCCGCTCCTGCCCTCCCCTGTTTGCTGATGGCTTCCCAGGGAGCTGCTGTGGTGTTTGGCCAGCTCAGGGCCTCCTCCTCGTCCTGCTGGGGTGTCTTTGTCCCTGTGGAGAAGGGGGAGCTGTGCCTTGAAATCCAACCAGAAGCAATGGCCAGCTGCTGCCGGCCATCCCCATTTGGCCACATGCTTCTGTTAGTCATTTTTTTACAGGCTTTGCTGCCTGCCTGGCAGCGTGAGGAGCCAGTTCAGTAAGCTACGACAGCTGAAGTCCAGCAGAAAAGAAAAAAAAAAAAAAAAAGGCTACTTCCTTCTTTGCCAAAATGGTGCATCCCGAGGCTGATGCAGGGTTCAGAAGTCACTCGGGAGCAGGCACAGAGGCTGTGAAACCAGCAGCTAGGCCAGGCTGGCCTGGTTTCACTCGCCGTAACCTGTGGCTTCACGCTCGGCTATGTGAAAGTTTTGACTTGTGGCTTGAAGCGTCGAGAAGTGTGGGTATCAGGAGGAAAGAGGCTGAGGCTTGTTTGGCAGGTGCTTTGAAAGCAGCTTCTCTGTGGGCAGGGAGGAAGGAGGACAGGGCACTTCTGCCCATCCCTGGGTGAGGTGGCTTGTGTTTGGGGCGTGTTTCCAGGACGCTTGCATACGTAGGTGCTTTCTGCCGAAGTGTGTGCTCTGTTGCCTTGGTAGTACAAATTAATGATCCTTAAAGAGTTCAGGAATTTACATTTCTGAGTGCTAATCTAAGGTAAGGTAACGAGGGTGCAGTCCTGATAGCAGAGAAAATGAACCATCTGCCCTCATCCTTCATTACTCTATTTTATTTTTTTTAGAGGGAGAAAAAAATTCTAATACTTGTATTTTGATCTGGCAACCTTCTTGAATTTTGTAAAATTAGCTTGTATCGGATGTCTGACAGTGCAGATTACTGATGGTGTGAGATACCTTGCCACATGCCAGACCAGCAGCGACAGAATCTCTGTGGCTAGAAAGTGAAAACTTTTCTTGAATGAAAGTTTCCAAGTAGCTTTTAAAATACACAAGATTAATAGCTTAGGTAGCATTTCTAACTGTAACTTTAAAGAATCTCAAGCTTACAAAGCTGAACGGTGCCTCTGCAATGTCATGTAATGTGTGTTTACTTAAGAGCACTACACGAAAGCTGCGGCTAAGAAACTAGGAAAATACCCAATTAAAACTTGGAGAGTGTAACCATTTTTTTCATATTTGGGACTTGGGGCTTAATGCACAACTTCATGAAGATTTGTATGGTTTCTGTCCTGTGTGTGAAGGATGTTAAGATGCTGGTGTTAGGCCTCTTCTCAAAGGTAGCACTGTCGGCAGCAGTGACAAAATCAGATGTGGAAATAAAAATTCAAAGCTATTCCAATATTCCCGCAGAAGGATGGGCCAGAATTCCCCATGAGTGCTCTATCTTCAGATATTTGTGTATAAATAAACGAACTATATCTTAGGAGAATATTGTCTTGAGAGCAACACCAACGAAAGGAAGCCTTACCACGTGGGCTATCGTGTCACGTCATGGCCATCTTTGAGCTTTGGACCTGTAGGCCCAATGTGCCTTGTGGAGTAGGTGATCGCTATGTGGACTGATACTAGCCAGGCGTGGAAGGAGAGCCTTCTTCCCTCGAGGAAAGGCAGGCCGTGAAGGTGCTCGTCTCCCTCTTGAGGGGTTTCGGGGCTGCCTGCAGAAAGCCCCGAGCACCTGGGCTGGTGGCGGGGGGCTGGCTGCAGACCCCACGTGCCCCTTCCCACTGAGTCACAGCAGTTCTGTGATTCACGGAGTGAGGTTTTTCTGGTCATAAAAGACGCTTGATAACCGTGTTTTCATCTCTTCCTCAGCTCAGCCTACGTGCTGGGTAATCTTGACATCTTTGGGCTCTCCCATCTCCTTATCACCGTTCTCCTTGCCTTTCAGTGGCTTGGCTTTGCAGATAGGCCAGCTATTGCCTCTCTCCATGTGCCTTTTTTACAGCCCCAGCTCCGTGCCTGGCCTTTGGCAGTGCCAAGCAGACGGCTGCTTCCTCCGCCCTGCTCGGGGTGGCAGGGGGGTGCCCGCTCCCTGTGCTGGAGGACTGCCATTTGCTTTCAACTTCTGTGTCGTTCACTTCCTGACAAGCTGCCTAAAAGCACTTGAGGTCTTACATCAGTCCCCGGACCGTACAACGTGACCAAATTTGGCTGGATGTGTTCCTGCTAGTGGAAGATGCACCTCTAACAGAGGTTTCTGTCCTTATCTGTGGTGTGACACCTGTTTCAAAACTGGCAACGCTTCAGGCTCCCAAATAGAATGGGTGCAACCCTAACCCTATAACCCTAACCTGTAATCATGAATATTTAAGTTGGGGAAGAAACATTTTCTTCTTCCACTGGAAAAGTTTGCTCAAAAGCTTCATTGAAGCAACCTTGACGTTTTCAACCAAGCTAGCAAGAGGCAGATTATCCAGAAAAATGTGTTCTGAGTTGGTAACACAGTAGGGTCGAGAGAGAACTGAAATAGCGACAAGTGACTGCGGACCCAAAGTTACGGTTTTTGGGGGGAGTTGGATAGGGTTAATTCTTTTTTATTGGACTTGATGGTTCCGGAGCTGTATTCTATATGGAACAAATCAGTTGCAATTCAGTGCTTTGTGGATAGCAGGGACTTAAATGTACCAGTGCACTTAGAAATGGAATGAGAAGTGGTTTTGCCTGCAAAGCAGCTAAAATGTAACATGGTGATGGAACTTGGAGACAAAAGGTTAATTAAGTGTACTTGAATGTTTTAATAATTATTTTTATTTCTTTTCATGTTTTAGACTCTTCTCCACGTTTACCAGCACCCAAGGATGTAAAGGTTTATTCCTATAACTTCCATAACACACTGAGGTGGTCTCCTGTTAAAGTAGAGAGAGGCGTGGTGTTATATACAGTCCATTTTAAAACGTAAGTAAATAGTTCCAAAAACCAACCAAACTGATTTTGCTCTAATCCAGTAACACCCTTAGTTTTTAAAAAGTTGCTGAAAATGAAGAAGCATAGGAATGAACGAATGAGTTGTTTATTACAGGTGTTTTACGTGTATCTGACAGCATCTTCTGAAGTCTGAGAATCTCTTAGCCTCTGACATTTCCACTAAATTGAGTAAAGATTGGATACCTGAAGAGCACCCAGCAAAGCTGCGTGGTTTCCCATGTCATTCTCCCTAACTAATTGTAGTTCTGATACTGAAGGGGTGCAGGTGCTGAAAGGGCTGTAGGATAAACGCTTGTGAAAGCAGTAGTTTCGTTACATATCCTTTTGTTACTAAAGTCTTCCAGGTGTGTGGGAGTGTATTTCAGAGCTCAGCTAGTTGCACCGTTCTGTATTCATCCTCTGGTTTGTGTTGCAGAGGGGCCTTTAACCAGTGGGATGAGATGAACTGCACCCGCATCGCCCGGACTGAGTGCAGTTTCCCCCTGTCACTGAATGAGCGTCTCTGGACGTTTATTTTGCGTGTGAGGTCTGAGCTGGGGCAAATGACTTCTGACTGGGTGGAAACGGATCCATTTGTGGCAGAGAGAGACAGTAAGTGGCATTTATGATTTCAGTAGGTCTCTCAAAGGAGACTTGTGTCATCTGTTCTGTGATTTTTCACTCTATGGTGTACAAGAGCTAAGTGAGAGAACTGTAGGTGCTCAGTTAGCAACAACTTCAGAGAATCTCAGTACATGACAAGGAATTTGATGTACATCAGTTCCTCTGCAGTGGTGTTAGCAGCACATTCCTTCAGCAGGTGTATTGAAAGAAAAACCTGTTCCTGATGAGTTTCCTTGCATGGCCAAGCCTTACAAGAGTTACGACCTGCATTATGTTAGAGAGTTTTTCTTATTTTCTCACTCAGCACTGGCACATGCACACACGTACCCCCTGGATTTGTGGCAGCCTCAGTGCAAACTACCTGTTTCTGTTGAACAGATCTCTTTTCTAACAAGCCTAAACTGCCATGGCTACAGTTCAGGAGGGCACACTTGAAATCCTATTAAATGTGTGAACAAGCATATCGCTGTTCTTTGTAAGAACAAAGGCCTTGCCTTGCTGTGATTGCTTTCAGGATTCAGAGAAGATAAATGTTGAGTTTAAAAAAGCCTCCAAAATATTAATGAAGCTGCAGAACAGTCTTTTAGGTTGCATTTTCCTGTAGGCTGTGATGAGTAACGGTGCTCCATATTGGGAAGAGCCTGATGCTTTCCCTGGTAATGAAGAGCACACGGGGGTGGGGAGCTGCCTGAGTCCTGACTGAAGAGTACAGCTGATTGTTTGCGTAGGGGGAGGGTGGTATCTCTGGGGAGTTAGGAAGGCTAATGGGAATACAGGACAAAGGGGTGGCTTAGTCTGGGGAGATGCTTGTGTGTCTGGTCCTTGGGGGGTAGGAGGGATGTTATCTGATCGTTGGTGTGTGACCAGCCGTGGGATCAATTGCCAGACACCCAGACTGGGGGCCGTTCTGTGCCTGTACCATTTGGATCGGTCCTGCTTGAGACAGCAGCAAAGGGAATTAGTGAGAACACGCACCGAGGCGTTTGCAGTTCTACAGAAACAGGAAGTAGAAAGAAAATGAAATGTCTGTACCAATATAAAGATCATGGAGGCCAATCTTCTCCAAAGTAACAGTAACAGAGCAGGTTCTAATGTTTTTTTGAGGTGAAACAAGCAATAATTTAATGCAAGGATTCATTTTTATTAGTAGTTTCCCCTCTCTAGTGTGCAAGCAGCCAATTATTTTAATATATGCACTAGTGTTTTTATTTTGAGATCCTGGAGTGCTTTACAAATGCTGATAAACTTAACTAATGAAGGAGAAACAAAGGATAAATGACTAGTGACCATACATAGTCTGTGATTGCACAAGCCTCTTGTCTTAGGAATGACAATGCTTTGTAAAGTATTTTCATGATTTAGACCTCAGAGTACCTCAACTTCCAACCTGTTAACCCCTCCAAACAATGTGTTTTTAAAGAACATGGAATATGTGGTTTAACTGGCCATTTGAAGAAAAACAAATAAAAACCTCTATCATCATTATCTACAGGTAGATTCAGATCCATACTAGTGAAGATTTACTTAATTTCCAGGGAAAGTTACCTAAAAAATTTATTATCTAATTTCACTTATGCTTTCAGGTATTTTTTATGTTGCGTTTGCAATACAAGATTTCTTAAACGCATTAAGTAGTTGAGAAAACGTTCCCTTTCTTGAGGAGAAAGCTGCTGATACCTGGTATATTTGCTGAGTATAAGAGGCTCTAGGTCAAGCTGGACATGCTATGATGAGCTGTTCAGCATCCCAGAGGTTCACTGCTCTCTATCTGCTTGTTTTCAGCTACCATAGGGCCCCCTAAAGTGAACAGCGTGATCGTAAGCTCTGACTCACTGCTCATTAGCGTCTCACCCCCTTTTGAATCCAAAGAAGGTACTGTCCAGTATAAAGTGTCCTACTGGGAGAATGCAACGACTGCTACTAAAGAAGTAAGAATTACGTCTAATTTATTTTGTTCTTAATGCCTCTGTGACTACGAGGTAAGTCAGCATCTCTTGGCAAAACAGCAGAAATGGAGGAAGAAACCAAACGTGGTTTGTTTTTTTTTCCTCTAATAGCAAAGGCCACCACTTGGTGGCCTGAAAATGAGTTATTCTGGTCATTTAGCATAGCACTGAATGTGTTTAACAAAACTTTCAGGAAACATCTGTGTTTTTTTTTTTTTTTAGTTTCCTCTGTATGAAATCAGGTTAAATTGCATTGCTGTTCAAATAAGAGATCCACAAAGTGTCGAAGGTGGCTTAAAAATGGCATTTAGATTCCAAAGTTTACTTAGGCATTTTGGAAAAAGCTAGAGAATACTTGCTCCTTTCCTGTGCTGGGCTTGCTTGTGCTGGTGGCTTCAGTATCAGGCTGCCTTGGCCTGGCGCTGCCTTTTCTCCTAGGGCAGAGAAAGACAGATTTATGAGAAACGTGGTGGACACAGGTGGGATGAGCTGTCCCTGTTCAGACTGAGACTGAAGAGGGTTTGATATATTTCATTGCGTGCCTGTGCTGCTGCCTTTTTTTTTTTGTCTTTTAAATAAAAATAAAAAAGGAAGAAGAATTAAAAAAAAAAAAAGACATTCTCAAGTCTAATGCTTGAAAAGCAGAAGCAGAAAACATTTTTCAAGCCTTGTGCATCAAAGGCCTTGCCAAATCTGAAACGCCTCCACTTCCTTCCTCCCTTGCACAAGCATGTATTTTTTCTGACATGTATAAAATACTTCTGTGTTTGATGTTCAGATAAGATGTAACTCTTGTATGATAATTCAGGCTTCACTGAGGTCCTTCTTCCAGCCCCTCATAGGTTAAAAATCCACAAAAGATTGGCCTTGGAGGTTTTGTGCTGTCCATCAGCTGTTTTTCATGGCACTAGAAGGAGCTGACGTGGCTGAAGCTCTGCGCTGAAGTGCACTTCTGCCAGCTTCCTCCAGTGCTGGAGACATTTCTCATGGCTTGCTTTTTCTTCCCCCTTCTTTATGTTATATTCACTGCCGGAGGTGTCACAGAAGCTGCGTGAAAGCATCCAGCAGTGTGTCGTGGATAAAGCGAGACTTCACATCAGTTTCTATGCCTTTGCTGTTCATGCCCGTGTAGATGGTTTTACATGGTCAGGCTTCATTTCATTTAAAAAATAATAAAATTTCAAACACGGTGAAGTAGGAAAGTTGAAATATATTTCACTCATTCTCTTGAAATGTGAAGGAAGATGAATTATGGAAAAAAAAAATGTTTTTTTGAATGATAAATATGGGGAGGAGAATTGCATTGAAGGCCGATTTTTATAGTAACACCTCCATTTTTCTTTTGTCTTTTAAACAGGAGATGTGGGTGAACAATGCACTGTTCAAAATCGAAAATCTAAAGCAAATGACACTTTATTGTTTTACGATTGAAATAGAACTGGTGAAGTATTTACATGAGCAGATCCCTGGACTGCAGAGAATCCCGGAGTGTTACAGAACTCCAATGAATGGTACAAGTCTGTTTTCGTTACTTTTCTTATATGATGGGGATGGGTGTAGGACATGAGCCTTAGCAGTTGTAACTTGGTCAGTCACGTACCCGTATTTGGCAGGTATGTTAAGAGGGCACCACTGATGGTAGTTCACAGTTGTCGTTAATGGCAAATTAATGAGGAATTTTTCAGTACCTAGTTGAGGGTCTTTGTTATACTCTTCCCCTTGTCCTTTTCTTTTACAAAAGCTGTTACGGCCACATAAAATATACGTAAAAAGAAAACACAACTACTTGGTCATTAGAGGACACTGTTGATGAAGGAGATGGTGTTACTCATGCAGATCCTCACCCTCAGCCACTGCCTCCTGCAGGACAGGAACATCCCCCTCCTCTTTGACCATCTTTCTTTGACATTTTTTGGGTACAAAATATAAAATAGGACAAGGGAAAGAGGAGGCATCTGCAATCTGCAAGGTAACAGCATTTGTCCCTCTCTTGAATCCTGCGTGATGTCCAACACCCAGACTTCGCAGAACCTCAGCGTGCTTTAAAAGCACGGGTACACGTGTAGGTGAAACCTGCTCGTGGGGTTTCTGGTGCCTTGGGCTGCGTGGGTGAGGGGAGGAAGCTGGTGATTTCTGGAACCACAGAAGAAGCTAATAAGGTGTTCGAAGTGCATCCATAGCAGGGCTGCGACCTTAACCTGGGAAATCATAGCTTGATTGCCGGGGATGCTAAATTTCAGCTTGCTGTGTGTTGCTTTCGGTATGATGTTGTACAAGTAAGAACCAACCTTGTTTTCTTTTTCAGAGACGACCAGAGTTGTGTATATTATAACAACATTTACGTTGGTTGGCCTTGTTTTAATTCTCATGATAATCGGTTTGTTTTTTCTATCGAGACACCACAAAACAATCAAGTATTTGTGTCAGCCACCTTTAAAAATCCCGTCACACATTGAAGAGGTACGTGTAGACATTTTATTTCTCTTCCCCCTCCCAACCCCTCCTGCAAAAGACAGGGATGGTCTTGGAGCAAGCATGAACGAAGCTAGTTGTTGCAGAACAGAAACAGATATAAGCAATTGCTGATTTAAGTATAAAATGTTTGCTCTAGTGTGATCTCCCACTTTATTCCTCTTCTACTCATCTGTGTTATTTTATTTTCTGTACTAAGATACAAATACTGGTGTAATCCTGTTACAAAACTGGAATAAGGTTCTCTTCCTTGTCTACACCTTGTCCACCCTTTTCTTTGCTGACCTAACTTCACCGTACCCTGAATCAGTTGCTCACTTTAGTCAGAAAACTTTTGTGTGCTGTAGAACGTATATAAGACCTAGGTCTCTGATTAGAAATTAAATACAGGAATTGGACACTGATCAATTCAATAGCAAGGACTGACTTGAAGACTAAAGGCTGCCTGGGGAAGTGTTCTTGGCTTTTTTTTTTTTTTTTCTGTTAGTTTTACGCAGTACTCAGCTAAAAAATATCCCAGGACTTCTTTCTCATTGCAGCTCACGCATTTCTGTACTAAACAAGGTTGTTTCAGTCCTGATCATCTTCCCCTTTTTTTAAATATGAAATACTCTTTTAAATCAAGAACTGTGCTTAAAGTTCTTGCTCTTCTGTGTTTGTATTTGCTTGTGTGTATCTCTGTGCCACAGCAGTCCATTGTACAATGTTTGTTCTTTGATTGCAGAGCTGTTTTTCCAGATTTTTACAGAAAAATAGGTAAATGAATCTGGACTTCTGCAGAGCAAATCATTTTCTCCCTTCCTGCATTTGACGGGGGCTCTGTGAAGACAGCTATATTGCATATCACGCAAAGCAAAGCTTTTTGCATGACAAGCAAGCAATTTCCTAAGTGTATATTTCTAAAAGGAATCAACCAGCCTGGGGCTTCTCCTCTTAAAACACTTCCCTTTAGTACAAAATACTAATTATTTTTGGGCAGTTTCATATGCACTTTTACAGGCTTTCAGAAAAATCACGTTTATTTTACAGAAGTATCCAAGCTTTCAGCATCAGACTTGCAGGGAGCAGATCTACCACAGAAACTACTTTACATAGGAAGGCAAAATCAAGGTTCCTTTATGTCTTGAATTTGTTAAAATATATGTATAGGAGGTTCCCATATAAGACATTTATTTTTAATACATATGAAGAAATAATCCTGACGCTTATTATCCTCGCCATGATCACAGAGAAAGGGGTGCCCTAAATTGAAAGCAGGGTTAATTTTGGCCAGTGACAGAGATGATTTGAGCTGTGGTCCTGTCTCAGCCAGATTATGGCAACTCCTACAGTATGAAACAAGCTTTTGTGTAATACTATACGCTACATCAGTCTTTTGAGAATGTGAAGGTTATTTTTTAACCAATGGCAGACTGCTGTCTCAGTACATGAGGTGGTAGGTGGCTCTACTTCCTCTCAAAATACAAGATCGATTTAGTAACAAGGAGAGTCTATGGGGGTAACGAGGAACAAAATATTTTCTCTGGACTCCATTTTTTTTCCTAACCTTTCCATGATTAAAAATTACATAAATTCACTGTAAAGCTGATGATTTACTTTTTACTTTGACATCCCCTCTGCCCCCTTCCCTCCAAAATTAACTGCAAGAGAGAAATGACACTAGAGTTTTCTGGTAACGATAAAAGGTGCAGATCTGCCTTGTTTCACGCTGAACAAAGCAGGATCTTCTCTCATTTGCCCTGTCAGTGTTTCAGACGAGCCATTAGTTGGTAGGTTCCTGCAGCTGACCCCAGCAGTGTAATTAAAAAAGATCTTTTCTTTTGTGCTTTGTTCTTCACTAGTAGGAATTTGCTTAAACTGACAAGAATATTAGCCACAGATAAGTTTATCAAAATTGATGAGGTGAGAGGCTGCTTTAACTTGCTTAAATGGCTGTTTGCCTTATTTTGTTTTTTTTATTTTGTTGGGAAATGATGCAGTTTTGACTTCCTTCTTATTCAACATAGCCTAAAGGAAATCCAGCATAAAACACGCAGTTAGCAGCTGCGTTTGAATTCTGGTCTGCAACAACTTGCCTGGAGCTGGTAGCACTTGCTCTGTCTCTGTAACTTCCAGCTACCTGTAATGTGGATAAATCCCTAAACTGCTGTTTCTTTTTTTTTTTTCAGTATTTGAGAGACCCTAGCATGCCTCATTTAGAAGCGTTGGAGAACCACCCCGAGGAAGCTCTGCCCGATTCTTATTCTGTTTTGTATTTTGAAGAAGGAAGCAAAGCGTATGGTGACACTTTGGCTGAAGACACTCGTTCACACAGCAGCTCCGGTGAAAGTGAAGTAACTTAAGCGGTACCGCAGCGAGAACGCCTGTTCCCAGTTGCTGCAGAGGCTCCTGCTTGCGAGGGGCGCTGTGCAGCTCCGTGCAGGACAGACAAGGAGCCCTGAACACATGGCCATGGGCAAAGACTTTTGCTTCCTGAGAATAAGGAACCTGAGCCTTTTTAAAAATGTTTCCTGCTGTGCTACAACATTCTGTCTGCCAAAGAGACTGAAAAGGTGGAAGTTGAAGGGAAGTGAACACTAAATTGCTTTCAGACAGACGGTTATGGTTGTATCATCATTTCTCCCCCCCCTTGAAGCAAAGTACTGAGAAATAATGGCACTTTAGGGTAGGCCCTACTCTAACCTGGAACGTGTTAGGGAGAGAGTAATTGCACCATGAATTACTTCTACTGGGGTTTTTGTCTTGTTCTTATTTGTGAAGTCTGTGTTGCTACTTAAAGTGTATTGTATCCACCCCCCCATGCTTTCCTGAGTCATTCTAAATACAGGAAGTCTGCTGTGACTGCTGCTTCCCTCCAGGCAGAAAGGGCAGGCTAAAAGGAACCTTGACTGTACTTTACCATCTTTATCGCCAACCTGGGCAAAGAACTGCTACAACAAAGACAAGGGATGATAGTTCACTCCTCGCCCTTGGATCTGTGCCGTAATGTTTCTGGGAAGCATTAATCAGTTCCTGCTGTGAGCCGATCACACCCTTCACAGGGAAACAAGCTTTAAAATATGCATTTCTCAGCATCTATTAAAAAAAAAAAAGCATCAATAATGATTAGACACTAAAAACTACTTTGTTGATGAGCAGGCTAGTCCTGTGTATCACAGGGTGACTGAGGGTTCTGTTTTGAGGCCCTCAAAGCAGAAACAGGACCACAACTTAAGCCATACATAACAATCCTGCAGGGGTTTAGGAGGTGTCTAATAAGGGTCAGAGACAAAATTACCTACTTCTATACTAAAAAAAAGATTGGTTTTATCCCACAAAAGACATCCATCTTCTTGATACAACTTGTTTTTAGAAAAATGAAATAAAATAAATTTGCTTGGTTGGTTACAAGTGACTTCTGGAGGATACTTAACAGGAGCTGTTCACAGAACCAGTCACTGCCACAGCCGTAGGTATCTGGGCTGCTGCTGTCCCACCCCTTCTGGGAACACACAGAGACTAGTGTCGAAAACCAACACCGGTTTGCAGAAGGTTCCTCAGTCTGTTTCCTGGAAGAACTACCCTAATGCCTCGTAATTAGACACCAGGCCAGGACAAGGGGATTATCTGAGGCTTGGCTTCAAGTCTGGTGAGAGCAAATAAAGACCCACAGGAACAACCGATATGCATAATGCAGGCCATAAATAAGAAGGCAATTAAGGCATCTTATGTGAATACAAAACACAACTTGCTGAATACACTTTACTACACAGACTATGTACTAAACTTTTGTTAGAGATGGTTATTTAATATTTCTTACAGAAATAGGCCAAAGTGGGGGGGAGGGGGGACTTTTATTAGGGGTAACTCAAAGGGTAGCTTCACAACTGCAGCTGGTCAAGGCAGAAAACCTAAATTGAGTAATCACTGCTTGTTGTGGACTCTGCTGAACTACCTGCAGTGTAAATACGGACCTGGAGTTAGTCTGATGAATGCCTGCGTGATTCTTACACAATAGCTCAGGACAGGGGAAGAAAGTTCTTCCCTGCTGTCTCTTTTTGCCTCTCAGCAGCTAGAGAGCATGACCATTCCGATTCAGAAATCAGAAGAGATGATCAGAAGAAAATCAGAAGAGTTGGACATCAGGAACTAGTTGCAGTAAAGCAAGCTGCTGGTAGAAAATGCAGGTACCCTCAGAAAGAAGCTCTTCACCTGGTGGCACACTTAAACTTTCTTAACAAGGAACGTGCATTAAGGCACAAGGAAAGGTTCTTGTGGAGTTAAGCACTTACCTCAAGTTGCCCTGTGCAAGTTACTGTGGCAGGCTGCAGTTGTTTCTCACTTAGGGGGAAAAATATATATATATCCTGGGCTACTGAACAAAAAACTGACAGAACTGAAAACAAAAACCTTGGTTTTAATTATGAAGTGTAAGCAAGCGTCAGACTTGCTTAAAGGTTAGCACTACTAGAGCCAGTGATGGGCTACTTCTGTACAATTATCTTGTGAAATTCGCTATCTGGAGAACATAAGATAAAGTTTATTGCAGTTTTCTGGAATTACAACCAAACAGACAACTTCTGTACAAAGCTACGATGAACACCAGTGAATATCTCGTAACTCACTGCCGGATGATGAAATCAGGATAGAAGTTAGTCTAGCCAGTAGCACAATTTCAGCTGCAGTTATTTGCTTCATATTCTGTCCACTGGAAAGATTCCCACAAGGGAGCAATTAGATGACTAACAGTATACAGTAACCATGCACATAAATTACATTCTGAAGTTTAATGCCATTTGGTCAGCAATCTTGATACATGGAAAGTTATAAAAGCTCTTAGACACAATGTAGATTCGAATGCTTTAAAAACACAGAGAACTTACAAGGAAGTCACCAACAGCAAGATGAATATATAAGATCAGTCCGAAGCTATAAAACATCACTGTTCTCCCTGTCTGTGTGCACCAGCTAGAAGAAACTGGATTGCAGTAATGGATGCATTCCCATAAAGTGCCCATGAGATTTAGGGGATACATTTTAACTGGGGCAAGTGGCAGCCCTAAAACTGGCAATTATTTCAACATAAAGATTGTCAGCAATAAATACATACAGTATATTCCCATTTGAAACGCTCACCTTTATTGTCACCTAAGGTAATAGGCAGCAGGATAACGGTTCATTTACCAGCAAAAAGCTATCCCCTGAAGAAAATCTATGCTAGCATAATTTTAAAAGATGTTAGTGTGACTCACATTTATTATTAATATCCCTTAAGTGTGATTGGCATCAGTTCCAGGGTTTTTAAATTCCAGTAAATACAGTAAATGCTAATTGTTATCTATTACACTGAGCAGCACAAAAATAATTCTATGCTGCTACCGAATTTCATTTGTGCTATAGCAATCAGTCAAGAACAGCTGGTTTGCCATGCAGAACCTACTTAAAATAGGGCCGTGTTTAAAAATTCATAACCTTTTACAAAAAAATAGCTACTTAAGAATTTTATATAACTGTTCAGAAAAATATAAAAACCAACCCTTATCTCAGCATACAAGAGAATTTACCCTCACGAAATTCAGGCTTAGCTGGGTCACTTCCATGAGCTGACTACTCCCTTTCAGGTTCAGCAGCAGCCCTTGCTGTCTACTCTTGAAAAATGAGCTATAGCTGAAGTACGCATAAAAATAATAACCCCTTTCACAGGGTACAGGCTTTGTCCTGCTTATTCACTTGTAGGTTGACCGAAGTCTCTCACACGTGAGGGTTTGGAAGATCAAGTCTTAAGAGTTGATGGAAACATGTATTTGAAGAAATGAGCCTGAAGGTTTCAGAAAGAAAGCCTGACTTTCCCTTTTTAAGATATATACAGTCATATGTACATATTCACAAATCTGTCCTATGAAAAGAGGGAGCTTATTACAGAAACCATAATTTGTCTCAGTTCGTCCAATTTAGAAAGCAAAACGAGAACAAATAAACGTAGATGTATCTACATACTGAGTACAACATAGCAACTACAGAATAGACAATGCTAGACGTGAGCTCTCATCCCCATAACTCTTCTGTTCTTCCAAACTTGTAGATCAGTGTACTAAAGAGGAAAAATAAAAAACAAAAACCAGGTTATACATACGGTGGAAAAGGCCATCTTAATAGTAAGCATACACTCTTACACTGTTCACACTGCAATATTTCTTCAATTGTGTATCTATTTCTTCTATTTCTATTTCACTCACTATGCATTACTAAAACCATGAGATCTAGCTGAAGCTACTGCTCAACTAAAAATAGCCAGTCCTGCAGTACAATTCCTTTTAAAAGGCTGGATGCAACTGCATATTGCTCTGAATCAAAAGAAGTCTAAACAAAAACAAACAGCATTTTCTTATTGTTCCTTATACTTCTTTTTCCCTTAGGTAGCAGGGAACAGCCATACTAAATCATAACAGGGGAGATGAAAAATACTAACAACAAAGAGGACAACAGTGAGAAGTAAAAAATAAGCTAGACACCTAGGCAATTAACTAGTGAAGAGAACTATTAATACAGCATGATAACCTAAGTAAAAAACTAGCAGAGTAACAATCGGGGCTGAAGCAAAGTCCTGAAGGATACACACAGTTCAAGGAATACAGGTATTATGAGCCAGCATTAAAAGAAGAGGGTGTTTCAATCAAAACAAAAGCTTTGGGCACGGACACTGAGAAGAGCATCACGGATTGACCCTGATCTGGTCCAAGGAAAGGAATCTACAGCAGCAGATGAAAATCTCAAGTGTTACTGCTTAAAGTAAGTAGTGGGATTATTATTTTTTTTTTTAATGTAGTTTGTCTCACAATTTATACCTAGGAAACAAATTTTAAAAGATGAAAGAGAAGAAATCTATAGCATACGGAGATACAGAGTACAATAGAAACTAGGGAAAGACACTTTCAGAAACAAAAAACAGCCTCAGAAGTAAGTTATCAAACTACTGAAATCAGATTGACAATATCAAGTGGATTGAAACTGTTCTCAAAAATCTATCCCCACTGGTATCCATCTCACTTTAGTTATGTGCAAGACTGCAGAAGAGATTTAGGCACTGCTCTTTTCTGTGAGAACAGAACTGACTTGCCCAACAAGGCAGCACAGCAGAGCCACCTGATTCAGATCACTGCAAAGCATTTGATATAGTACTAGAAGGAAAATTGTTAGCATGGTAATTTAAGTGAGTGAGAACTTCCAAAAGAGGAGGTTCTGGGAACTTTTTCAGTGACTGAACTTCAGAATTATACTAATGCTTTTATTGTCTTGAATTAATCAAATTCATATATTAGAGAATGCGTTATACATATAAAAAGAGCTGGTATAGATGCATACAAAGTGTCATATAAGGCACTTAATGACATTAAGAGAAATAAAATGAACGGATTTAATATTACAGAACACACCATTATGGTCATAGAAGAAAATTTCATCACTCATCATAACTGAAAGTTCATCCAGTAGAAACAAATTTAAGTGTATCAGACCATCAAATCACTGTTATGAAATAGTCAGGAAAAAGGCAATAGGATGTCTCACCTATTGCTGTCAGGATACATGCCAAGGTATTTGTAGTAGAGATGAAAGTATTATTGCCATTATCCAAAGACACTGACAGTATCTCACCCAGAATACTATCTGTACCTTTGGTCATCCACATTCTAGAGCTGTAAATTCAGTAAGATCACAAAGAGCCGAACTAACGAGCACAAGAGGATTGAAGACCCTCTCTGCATAGTACTCTCTTCATCTCTGAGGAGTAAATAGGGCAGTGTTTCTAAGCACTGGAGGAAGTGGTAGAGAAAGGTAGCAGAGTTTAAAAATAAAGGTTTTAAGAAATAGTTTGGTCGGTTTATAGAACGACTAACGCCACCTCAGTTCTCTGTACAGTCTCAGCTTACTCAGAGACCCAAGAGCTCTCTTACATGCCATCTTCCTCAAGTAAAGGTCAGGCTGGGTAATGAACTGAAATACTGGAGCCCGGCACAGTGAGCAGCAAGCACCACATTGTGGATGGTCAAGTCTGGTGCCAGCCTCAGTTACAATTAATTTTCCTGGGGTAACCGTGCATATGGAAGCAGGCGAGTGCAACGCCCCTTTGGAAGGGAGGAAACTTACCCAGGTAACTTACCTGAAAAATATCAATGCGTTTTGGAAAAACACTGCTAATCCAGGGTAAACATTAGTGTCTGCAAAGTAAGTAACAAAGGAAATATTAACTTCTTTTGTACTGAAAGAAGTACCTAAAACACTATTCACAGTATTATTCTCTGGCTACAAAATTAGATGGCATTGTTCTAGCAAGAACAGACCACACTTTCATTCCTCTGGATTTTCTGCCTTTCAGCTGACAGCAAAAGTACTTTCTACATAAGTAAAAT